CGCCGGGCCGTCCCCCGTCCCCGGTGGGCTCCCATGCGCCGCCGGGCCGAGGCCTGGCTTCCCGGCGTGCCCGCCCGCCGTTTCTAGGAGGCGGCGGGGCCGGGGACCGACCCGTGCCGTGGGACAGACGGAAGGAGAGCGGGTCTGCGGGGGGCGCTTCCTAAGGGGGGAAACGAAGGGAGGTGGCGATAAGCGTCTGGAAGTCGTTTCACTGAAATGCGCCGCCTCCCGTGTGGATGTCGAGGTTTGCATCAAGAATATTAATTTCTGGAGGGGAAACTCGTGAGTATGTGCTAAAAAAGAGCTGATGGGCAGAGCTGTGGGGGGACAGGTCCTGGTCTCTAGCCTGAATTACTAAGAATTGCTTGTCCCTTGTGATGGGTGTAATAAAAGGGCAGTGCTTATGTCACTTTTATTATTTCATTACGTATTTGTTCTGTTCTGCAGCTAGTGGCATTCTGGCTATTGACAAGGCCAGGGAGCCCATCACCTTAGTACTGGCAGAAGATGGCACCATTGTGGACGATGAAGATTACTTTTTGTGTCTGCCATCTAATACCAAGTTTGTGGCACTGGCCAAGAATGAGAAATGGTCCAGCAAAAGCTTAGGTACTCTGCGGATGAGGGAGCACGGAAGGGGAGGGGTGTCTGGAATACACCTAGTGAAATTAGGCTCTCTCAGGGGGGTCAGGAACGACCCGTGAAACTGATGACTCTTGTGTCAGACAGTGGAACAGCCTGGCTCTCGGAGTCTGTGGATGAAGTGGACAGTGCTGCAGAGAAGTGGAAGCAGCTGGCCAGGCAACTGAAGGATGACCTGTCTAATATCATCTTGATGTCTGAAGAAGACCTCCAGGTACAGTGGGGAAACCTGTAATTGCTGTCCTTGGCTCTGCCCACCATCCATTTATCTCAGTAGGTGGCAGAGAAGAGAATAAGTAAACAAGATCTCAAGCTTAATTCAGCTGCTCTTGTTTGGCTGTGGTGCTAGAGTCAAATTTCTCCTTGAGGGGAAACACTCACACGTCTCCTCAGAATGCTCTTAAACACTGATTGTCCCTCACAACATATCTTTCCAATTCTGGCAGTGGGAGGGCAAAAAGTCAAGATTTGGCCAAATGGCAACTGAGGCAGGCTCCTTCCTTAAAACCAGACACCTGTGTAATGTGTCAAAAGGGAAGGCTGAGCAGCATGCCAAATCAGGCTGCTCCAGAGGGGTTTGAAGAACAGCTGTCAGTTTCCAGAGCCGACTGATTCGAGTGTCTGACTGCTTAACACCTTGTATGTGGTGAGGCATGGTGATAACTGCCTCTTCTTGTCCTTCTGCAACGTGCAGCTTCCCAAGTGCCAGGCCATTGGCTTTCCTTTGTGTGTTCCCACACACTCTTAAGTGGTACTTCGATTGCCAGGAGCTGTCAGGATTTCTGTTAAAAGTGCACATGATTCCACACCTTCCTGGATGCCTTTTGGCTTCTGGTAAAGAATGCTGGCTGGTGGAGTGCCACTACAGCCTCTCATAACCAGGCTGACCTGCTATGACAAGAAACCTTGTGAAACATGCTGGGTTTCATGAAGGTGGAGGCTCTGTCATTCAGGAGGCTTGCTGTTTATACTGTAATCAGTGTAATGGAATGAGTTACTCAGTCAGTCCATGTAACAGGAGCACTCTCATTGTTTTAAGGTGCTTATTGATGTACCACGTTCAGACCTGGCGGAAGAACTTGCCCAAAGTCAACCCAAAATCCAGGTATTGCAGGACACCCTGCAGCAGGTGCTGGACAGACGAGAAGAAGAACGCCAGTCAAGACAGCTCCTGGAACTCTACCTAGAGGCCTTGAAAAATGAAGACAGTATCTTAAGCAAAGTAGCAGGTAGGGAGCATTAGGATGCTGGAGAAGGAGCTTTTCAGAGATGCCTGAAATAGTTGAGTGGAATAAATAAGGCAGAGTGAGGGACTGGAGTGAGTCACTTGCTTAGCAGCTATTAATGCGGTTGATGTAATAGCTGGTATCGTGTAAGAATTCTCTGACTGCGTGAGGCCAGGAGTCCTCTCACGGCTGCGTCACATTTCTCACAATGCCTCAAAGTAGAATACTGGGAGAAAAGCTTAAATCACGTAGTCATCCTTAACATTATGGATTTTTTAAGTTAGAGGATGCACCTGGATAGAATGCGTATTTTATTAACCTCAAAACAATCAAAGCAGTCCAGGCCACTTTTCCTGTCCTGTGTTTGTCACGGGCTATAATGATTCTGCTACTTTTCAGAATCTGAGACTGTACCAAGAAAGGAGATGGATGTGGTTGACACAGGTACCAGCAGTACAGGCACTTCAGCCAAAACGGCGCTCAGTGACCAGATCCTTGCTGCTCTGAAAGAGAAACCTGCTCCAGAGCTCTGCTTGGACAGTCAAGATCTAGAGGTGGGTGAGAATGACATAACCATATTCTGGCAAATCTCTCCCTCTGGAGAGAGAGGTTATAGGGAAAGCTGTCCTTGCTTCTGGAGGCTCTAATGTCAATATATCTCAGTCCCAAAGTGGTGAGATTTAATCTATTTCTCTCCCTCAGTAACACTAACCCCTGCTTGGAGCTCCTCTGTAATAGCCAGTTGACACTATTCCAAGTACTCTAGTCTGTCCTCTGAGAAGCCACAAAATAATTCTGGTTTTGATCTTTGCCAAATCATAGTCAGCTAGTGCTTCAGCTGTCTTACCGGCAAGTTTTTTGTGTATGCAGATGCATCTAGCTATATTTCTTTTATACATCCCAAATGAAAATAAAAACCTCCTTATTTTGGAAAACAGTGTATATAAACCCATAGCGTGGAAAGGAAAGTCTAGGTAAACTTTAACCATTAGAAAGTATGTTCTTTCTAATGCTATGAACTTGCTCCTCTTGCTTTTCCCTGCTGTAGAAACTAAATAACTGCTTTCTGTTCCTTTGGACATCTGAACATAGCTTCAAGCTCTAAGTGTTGGTAGAATATTTTAAATACACTAGCCCATGGGATAGGTGATGAAAGCTGGGAACATTTTCAGTACCAAATTGCCAGTATTAAACAGGTGTCTCATTACTGCTGTTCTTAATGTGGGCAGAGGGGTTAGCGGTGAAGGAGCATCAGTAGAAAAGACTGTTAGAAATCTGTCTTGCCACAGCTGGTCTTGAAAGAAGACACACAAGCCTTGGCCTCGGCTCTAAGATGGGACAAGCAGAAAGCTGAAGCTCTGCAGCAAGCCTGTGATCAGGAGCTCTCCAAGCGTCTACAACAAGTGCAGACTTTGCATTCCCTAAGGAGCACATCGAAGGGCAAGAAAACGCTACCCTGGGGAGACTGGCTTAGTTCAAAACGCAAAAAATAAGTGCTGCTTGCAATTTTTTTTTGGTGGGCTTTTTTTGTTTGTTTTGTTGGGGGTTTTTTTGGTTGTTGTTTTTTTTTTTTTGCATTAGAATCAGTACAAGCAAGATATATCCTGGGAGCCATAGTTTGCTGGTCATACTGTGGTCTGACTATAGACAACTAAAATCTGGACATTGTCCTGAGGCTTAAACTCCTGTGATGATTCAAATCATGTGTAACCAAAGGGATTTTAACTTTTTGCAGAATACTAGAACAATGGTATTGCTAAACACAGCAAGTAAGGGTTCAGCTTTGAATACCTGGTTGGGAGCCAGAAGCTTCCATCTGATGATGATGGATCTAGCTTCTGAAGCCCCAGGCAGTTTGCTTACTTTGTCCTCCCACCATTTTCAATGTAAAGGATGGAAGACCTCGTGGAAGACACTTTGAGGCACAGTTAATGAACAGAAAGAAGGCACTTGGAGGATTGCTCACTGAACACAGTGCTCATTCTTCAGTAGGGTTTATTGCGATTTGACCTAGTTAAGCTGTCATTGTGCAGTTTTTCCAGCTGCTTTCTGGCTTTAAGCTCCAGCCTGGGATCTAGGAACTTGAATCCTCATGCTAATTTCATCAGTTAAAGTAAATTTAAAGTCCTTTAACTTCTGTGCTTTTTCTGTAAGGAACTCCTGCCTCTTGGGTGCAGTGTAAGCACTAACTTGTAAAACACAGCAAAGGTGGAAATAATTGCTTTGTAAGGCTGTGGGGCCGAAGACTTGTATTTGGCCTGTCTGTATTACTGTCCTAATCATTAGTGTAGTATCATGGTGTTTTTGTATTAACTGGCTTATTTTTAAATTTGTTAAAGTCTTTTTTTCCTAATATCATTAAAACCTTTCTACCTTACTGTTGGACTAGTTTTGATATTCCCACCAGCTGCTATGATTAAAGAATGTGCTGATAAGTACAGTATTACCTTAAGGATAGAGGAAGGAGAAATTAAATACAGAACTCTCACCTGGCACAATCTGTTCTTCTCTTGTGAGAACAGAAGATGTATATGAAAAAAAAATCTGAAAAGTGAGCTGAAACTTCTGAGAAAGTTTTAGTAGATACAAATGTTTTCTAGTATCACGCAAAACCCTCTGATTTAACATAACCTTAAATGGTACAGGATGCCAACTGATGAGTATTCCTACAGCAAGCATTCAGGTGAACCCATTGCATATAGACATTCCAGTTGAATTATGGCACGCTCGAAGTTAAGACTGCCAGTGTAACTAATAAATATTCTAAACAGTTAAGTGGCTTTGAGCAGGTAAGGAAAAATACTTAGGGTAGCTTCAGATGAAGCTACCCATATGGGAATTGACTGGACTTAGGGGGGAAGCTTGCAGTCAACTTTTTGGTCAGTCTGTTTTGCTAGGGCAAGTAATTGCCTCTTAAATATACACTTCTGGCTTGTAACATTATAGGCCATGGCAGGTAAAAAGGTTTCTTTCTGCTTTAAATAGCTACAAGCTTTTTATGTTCAAGTCTTTCTGAAATAGCATATATGGCTGTGCATTAACAATTTTTGAAGCATGCTCTATTGCACTCAAAGCTAACTACACTGGCTACCAAGTGAAATAGCATGCTTTGAGTAGACTAGCTGTCAGCAAGCTTTTTCTGCGAGCTTGTGATTACCACTCTCTCCATTATAAATCACTTTTTCAGTCTTGCTCAAAGCTGCAATGCTTTTGTTTTTTTCAAGCTCAACTTGGCAATGGAAATTCTACTCCTCAAGCTGTACAAAAACTCTTCTTTCGAAGGGTTTTACCTGTGGCTTTTTCACATCTGCAGATAGCTATTACTTCAGTCCTGTGTGTATTGGGAATATTTAACTCACCCACTTCCAGGCAAACACTGAGATGGAGTCACAGAGACCATGCTGATCATTCTTGTAGGAAGGCAGTGATGGTCCTTCCAATCTAGCCTTAAGGAAAAAAACAAATGGAGGGTTTTCATTGCTGCTTTTTCCTCTTTTCTGATATCAAGGTTAGAGCCCTTTAGTTGCCTGTAAATTATTAAATGCTACAGTTCTTACGTTACAGAATTCAAATTATCAACTAGACCTAGCATAGTATGATTTAACCTGTTACTTTTTTCTTAATTGTTCTGTTCTAGTAGAACAAAAAAAAAAAATCAGATTTTCATAATCTGATGGGAGCTGCAGTTATACTCTATCCTAAAGCTGAGCTGGTAGTTTAATAGTAATATTGACTATTATTTGCAAAAAGAACAGGTATATAATACTTAACTCTCTTTAAAGCTCTATTATAGTCAACATCCTTCAAAAGTCTCCATGAAAAATGAGAAGCAATTAACTACTAAGAGACTTCAATGCTGCATATCATCCTGTAATTTCTATTAAAAAGTCCTTTTTTTAGTCGTCAAGTTTATGTATTGCTTCTTGGATCTCTTTCAGTAGTGCAATCAAAGACGAAAACTGCTAAAACATCTCCATTTAATGAGATTTTTAAACCTAACAGTACAGTCATCCGTATAAATTGATACTCTTTTTTAGTGTAGACTTTACTATAGATCTTTAGATCATTATATTCTGAAAGGCGGTTCATAGCTAGAATTTCCTGTTGGTGATGATAAAGAGCTACTGCCAGATTTAGTATTTCCACAGCAAATAATCACAAAGCTTTTCAGTAAACAATCTTTAGCCATTGGCCAGCACCTTCTGTATACCAGTAGTGTATATGCATGTGTGTTTGGAGAGGAAGTAACAGATTTTAGCTGAGGACAACATCAGAGCTAACAAACTTTGAGACATATTATTTCCCTTCCTGACGTGTTGGGCTTAATGACCTCAAAAAAAATCAATCAGGTAAGCTGTGCAATAAACATCCACTAGGCCTTCCTCTTGAAAGACAGCTACTGTGTTATCAAAATGCTTGATGCTTCTAAAGGCCTAGGAGTCCTGTGAAATAAATACCAATTTTCTACTCAAGAAAGGAATAGGATGAACAATAGAAGCAAATCAAATAGGACTGCGCATGTCTTGATAACCAGACCCCTACAGAAGTTGCTCCTTTAGAGATAGAACAGTGGATAAGAGCAAAAGATACTTGATCGTTTTTTGCTTATCTTACCTATGTAAGTCAGGAGAAACTGTCCACCTAAAACATGCTCTGTAGTCCAATTTAACCTTAAATTAGATCTACATTTTGTAGACATGAAGTATGTTTGATTCACTTAAGCTTATTTAAATTGCATGGACGCTTTAACTATGCAAAAATTAGCATTTCCTTGATCTTATTCCTGTAACATTTAAGAAGCTTTAACTTTTGAACAGGGTGACTGACCTGCCTGTGATTCATGAGGATGGATTTTGTATAGGTGTTCAAGAGGGAGGGATACAGTATGGAAGGTCTCAAACACAGCCAGAAGACGTGTGAAAGCTAGGGTGGCTGCCATTACGCTTTTTTCAGGGTAAAAATTTTAGAACGTCAAAGCCTTGAGTTAAAGTCTTTATCATTAATACATTCAAGTAGACAAACCTACCTTGTAACAGAGATTCCACCTTGTAACAGATTCCTTCTTCAGCAATAGATTTGCCATGAATGAGTATCCTCAATTAATGATCTTCAACGCTGCATTAATGATTTCTCCCTTAAAGCACCAAGAAAAACCTTTTGCATCTCCTTTGGGATTGGGCTGATGACCAGTGTACATTAAGGTAAATAAAGCCTCACGAACCTCAAGAAAGCAAGTAGTGTATAGTGGCATTAAAAAAAAAAAAGGCAATATGAAAACTGAGTAATGTACGCACCGGTATGCCAAGAGGACAGATTTCCTGTTGATTACAGAACTGCTAGTTTATTATCTACCTAGCCTACATCAGTCAGCAGAAGAATTCTTCTAAAAGATATCTCATCCCTGAAAGTGGAACAGTTTGGGATAGGGGAAAGGGAGGGTAAAGTGTCATTGTGTAAAATTTCCTGTATAGAGCCAGAGATAGGGATTCACGACATTCCTATTTTCTTCTACACTGTAGCACTTGATTTTATTTGATCACTATTGGATAGTTACAGCCTAAAAAAGGCATGTTTTTTTTTCCCTATCCACTACTGCGTAATAGCTCAGATACAGAGCAAGAATAAAAGGGAGCATGTGTAAGAAGTCCAGAGCATTACTCTTTTTCCATTGTGTCAGGTATAGCTGAGTGACTCTAGTCCAGAAAGTGCACTCTTCTTTCAAGAGAAGGGTTTTAAAAAAGGAGCAAGGCTACTCCTAGAAGTTCTCAAGGATGATCAAAAATATTCTGTCATCTGGTACCTTCCTTATCTTGGGGTAGTATTTAAGGTATGAGTCTTACTAAAATGAGAACCTGATGATTTTAAACTTGGTTTTGGGGAATTGCCTTAAGCTGTATCCTTCAAGAAGGAACGATTGGCTTCAAGGAAGAGCTTGTCTCATGAATCAAGGGCTGAGCAAGAGAAACAGTGTTCAAGTCTTTCCTCTCTTGCTGCATGTTTTAGACTATCCTTGGCAAGCATATTCTTGCTTGATAAAGTTTGCCCACGCAGTAGCTTAAGCAGCCTTCTCATTTCACTGGGCTATATCTGTCTAGTACCTTACGTCTTTAAATCTGCTGCTTTTGAGTCAACAGCATTTGGCAAGTCTCTGTCAGTCCAGCAGAGGGCAATGGTGATACATTTCTGACCACCACCCCGGAGCCATGTTACTATAGTACAATTTAGAAATACAATGCAACTTGCCGAAAGTGAAGACTGTACACCAGCAGTATCACAGGTGAAAAATGACACAAAACATGTTTTAATTGTCAAGACAACAAGTGAGCGATATGGTTATTAAAACAAAAATAAAACACTCAAAATACCTAAGCAAAAGTGTCAAAAATGGAAGCGAGGAGGAAGTCAAACAATTACTAGAGAAACCAAGTAGCAGCATGGAGGGAGCTGCACATACTGAGGTATTACAGTTAGTGAGAATGTTCTGCTTTAAACTCTTTATTTAAAGGATTTTCTTTTTAATAACAGATACCTTTTTGTGAGCAATTAAGGCATTTTGGCTGTTTTACTGAATTCTGACAAACCTTTCATTTTTGGAACAAAAATATCCAACTAATCATGTTCACCTAAAAACCTAAAGATTCATTACTGTTGCTAACCTACAAGAGGAATCTCTAATAAGCTAACTTGGGTTCCTCTAGGATAATAAGAGAAAATGACCAGAGACATTACTTGAAAGGTAAATCACGCCATGTTGGAATCTTCACTTTCAGTCACAGCTGCTTCTTGTTCCCCAGAAGTTCTCCCTCCCTTAGCTGCACTGGACTTCTTTTTCTTCTTCTCCTTTTGCTCCATGTTACTTGATGCGAGCTCTTCACTCTTCTGGGTGATATACTTTAGCTGAGAACAATAAACTAATCAGTCATCTACTGAGGAACTTCATATATTCATGAGAAATTAGAGAGACGTGTTTAAGAGAAATTAACAGCGCAAATTCTTATTACAAAAAAGACGACAGACACTCCAAAAAGGCCGACAAGCATCAACTAATTTTAATTCTTGCCGAAAGTCTTCAGTCTAAGCTGGACATTCTCAAATACTCAAATGCCCTGGCAAGAGTTGTAGTTTGCTGAGATACAATCTGAGTACAGAAACATTGCAAGATTCCTCTGCACCCACTTGACATAAACAGCACATGGTAGTTAGGAACACAAAATTCAGCTCCTGCATTTACTATGCCTTCTCAGGTAAGTTCATGTTGCATATTTCAAATCACAGATGGAAGGAAAAAATCCCCTCACATAAAATTAAAATTAGTATTGGAAGTATTCTTCTTCATGGAAGCATTTACAGGTATGTCTTAACACATTAGCGAATTTAAGTCCACTGAACATCATACACATCAGCACATGAGAGAATACAACAATGTGAATCATCCCTATATTAATGTTAGGAGACTTAGCACCTCAAGGTGGACTCAAGCTATTCCTGACCTTAGGCTAAAACAAAGGAACACAAAACAAGTTATTTACTTCCAAGATTGACAATGCTGTAATCTGTCTGTTTATTGCACTTTTGTACTTGGAACCTCAGCAGCCCTGTTGCAACCAGAACGTTGCTGCTTGAATTGCAATCAGATCTGTGTTCCCACAGTGATGCATAGTGTCATGAAGCAAAATAAGATGAAAATTAAAAAATCACTGGATTGTGCCCATCCATCATCTATAAGCCAGTGAAATTGCTTAAGCAACAGTTGCTTCATCATCTGTAGCCTTCATTCAAATGCTCTTAGGAATTAACCAATTGGTTTAAGAGCGTTGTGAGACAGAAAATACAGTGATTCTCACCAAAGAATTGCTCCTTCTAGCCAAAAGCTTCACATCTTCTGTAGTGACTGTGCTTCGTTTTGCATGCCTGCATAAAATGAAAAAACACCCCTTAATGTGTTTGCCAACATTGGCTGTAAGAGGCCATACAGCATCTAATTCAGAAAACTAGCTAAAAGGGCTTAATAGGGACCCAGTAAACCAAACATGCCTATCTTTTCCAACTATAATACACAAAAACCTACTTTACAAGTTTGTACCTGTACACCTAAATTCCCACACTTCCTGTGTAAAAACAGTAGAATTTAGCAACCAGAACTTCAAGCACCACTGTTCCGTTCCCTCTTACTTGCCAGTAGCTCACTGTGTTAAGTTTTGACTCCTTAAAATATTCTCTTACCTCCTTGGAGCAACCAGATGAAACACAGGCATGCTAGTAAGCACCTGTCGCTCCCAAACCATCCAGTACTGCTATGTATCAACGCATTTGACAGTTTTATACAGTCTCTAATCTAAACAATCACTTGTACCATATAAATGAACTTCCAAGATCAGGAGGAACCTACAGGGGAATATCTATTTCCTAACTTCACAGCCACTATTTAATCAGCCAATAGGACTCTAAAACTTGAATTACAAGACATTATTTTAAAGATTATCTAGTTATTGCAGCTGAATGCAAAAAAAGAACGCCTTTGTAACAATCAAGTGCTTCAGCACCTACCTTGCAAACATTTCGAGGTCTTTTGCAAAGTTCTCTGGAGAAAACACAAAGACACCACATATTTTAAAATGCTAACTCTGAGTAGGAAGAGATACATAATACAGTTCTCGCTGTTACAAAGATGTAACTGCAAATTATCCAAGTTAGTTATGAGAAGGGACCATAACTTGTTATTACGTGCCACTCTGTTGCACAGGCAGGTGGCCCACACAATATTTCCACATACATTTAAATGCTTTTTCCATGTCTGAAAAATAGAATCGCTATTTCTTGTACTTTTAAAAATGTAATGCAAGAAACAATGCATCAGTGATACCTAGTTCCAGTGCTATTTTTTTTTTTTTAAAGCATCGTTTCTCCAGCAATTGCTCTTGAACAAATAGATAATACGCAAACTTCTGTACCACACTGCCTGAAGGTGATCTCTGAAATAGCTGCAATGGTTTGTTTGCTGAATTGCATGTCTTTGTCTTCTGCAACATCCTGACACAGGCAGCCAACCGTGTAGTGAACTGCAGCCTTCAGCCTCTGAAAGGATCCAAGGCAGCGACAGGTCAGTTCTCTGCAGACTGATATACTAGCTCTTGCATAAATCATCAAAACTGTTTCAAAGGACGCAACACAAGCGACCGTTTACGGACCCAACACGCCCAGCAACACCACGTTTACCATTCAGTGCCCCATATCCCCCCCGCCCCCGCC